TGGACTATTCGACAGGACCCCGAGGCTGCCCCAAACGACGCCAATATCAGACGTCGCCGGCGTCGACCGGCTCATTTTGTCCCCAAATGTGGCCCGAGAAAGCAGCGAAGTTTCGATCGAATTGCTGATTCGCGGAGCACAGAAGGATGTTGGTAGTGGTCGTAGCGCCGTTGAACGACCTACCATGGCTCTTTCTCCAATCCGGCAATAACAGGGGCATGCTCCGGCCTTGATCACTGGCACAGGACTCCGACAAAAACATCCTTTGAGTCTTCTTGAGGAGACCGAAGCTGATTGACTCGTTCGACGATTGCCCGCTGGAGTCGAGTTTCCTCGCAGGCCAAAGCGAGTCGACAGCATCCGAGGATAACCGTGTACGCGAGAGTAACGCGTCCGGAATCGCGTTAAGAGCCGTTAGATTGCTCTGAGAGAGTTTGGGAGTGGTCGGCAGCTGGGTAACTTGTTTGGCGAGGTTGGCCATGAGCACCATGAGCGGGTGTTGGAGGCTGCGGAAGACCGCCCGATTCAGGAAAGCGTCTTGCAGTATGTCCAACGTTTGAAGAGGTTCACTAGTTTGAAAAGCCCAAGATGAAATGTCAGCACATTCGTTCCAATTCTTAGATATGGTTTATGGCGAGACCTTGGGATGAGCGCCCAACATCTTTCTTTCCCTAGCGGTAATGCACCCTTGCATTTCATCACGGCCCCTGTGAGCGGCACGGCCTCTTTCCGCACCCACTTTCGCACCACTTCCAACCGCCACGGTGTTCATAGTAGCTTCTGGATTCTTCATCCCGCTGGTGGGATGACTAGCAGCTGGTAGACCGACGCCTGGTTTATAGCTTTAGCCAACGAACCCAAGCGTGACGTTACCACCCAAATCCGCCAATAGTGGCGAACAATTTGGTCCTGGATAGCCGAAATCACCCCACGAACGACTTTGAAGACGAAGACCTCCAAGTCTTCCTTGAGCCCGTTGTTCGAGGATTGCCCGCCGCGCGTTGAGATTCGGCCTAAGCCAAGCGTGTCGAACTTCTCCAGCAGCTCCGAGGCGACGCCAAGGCGTGCACGTGAGAACTCGTGGGGCTCTCAGGCTAGATTCGAGGGCGAGTAAGAGTTGGGTTACTTGTTGCTTGGGGTTTGTGATGAGGACCGCGAACGAACGTTGGAGCAAAATGCAAGATTTGGGGGTCTTGCGGACGTTTGGCGCCTGATGGGGTTCACTATTTGAAAATCTGCGAGAAGATCGAATGTCAGTCGCGTTTTACTCTTTGCTTGCGATCGACCTGCGCCGGACCTTATGCTGAAAGTGATGAGTACTCGCATCACATCCCGCAAGGAACGCGCTGTAACTCTCGGAAGCGCCAAGACGTCCTTTCTGACCTCCTCCGACCGAAGTGGCGCTCGTAGCAACTTTTTTCAATCCCCTGTCGCTCCACCGACCTAACCTGAAGCCAACCCGCAGGATGAATGCTAAAGACAACGAGTCTCCACCCCCTCCAAGCTGTCTTTAGTCTGCCCACGGGAGACTAGATGAATGCCTTCATCACAACGTCTGCCCCAGTCAATCCGACCTTATACGCTCATTAAAACTATCCAACAGAAAACCATGACTAACGATTGCAGTGGGATTGGCCTTGCGCTTGGAGTGGGGATGAGACGTCTCCCGAGCTGCGTGTTGTTGGTGCCAGTGAGGCTTTGGCGTGAACGTGAAACATCGGCCAGTGATCGGAGGGGACCTAAGACGACGTTGGCAAGGGCCGGAAGGGAAAAGAGAGGTTCGAAGTCGCTCTAAGCCGCCGAGCTATCTTTTGACGAATCAAAAAGCGAGGGATCGCCGGTTGCTCTAAGCAACCGAGTTGGCTCCCAAACGAAGCTCCCAAAGGGAGATCATCTGTTATTTAGTGCCTTGACGGATCGAGGGGTGAACTAATGAGAGAGAAAGAGGGTGTGAGAAGGGTGTGTTTCTCTTTGCATCTAGTACGAGTGTCTGACGAAAGGTGAGTGCGGGCGCCCATTGGAAGTTGGAAGGATTGCGGCAAGAGGCTGGAGTTGAGATGTGGACTGACGGTAGACCGGAGGCAATTCGATTTAGTTGTTGAAGGGCCGCATTGCTTGTCGTAGCGGGAAAGAGTCATTATGGTGATCTGACGTCGTCTAGGGCGAGTTCTATTCGAATGAAGGGGAAGTACATTGTGGAGCAGGCGCTATAAAGCATGGCGCACAAGCGAAAGACAATTGAGTTGCCACACGATACCATCAGCACCATTGTCCTCGCAATCGGCTGACAGAGGAGCTGAATGTATATACCTCAGTTCTGAATTGGTCTGCTTTGAGGGAGATATAAGAGGGTCGTAGTTGTAAATGGAGGGACAGATCGGGAATGCGGACGGAGTTAAGGTTAGATCGGAGTTTGAAAATGGAGGAGTGCCCAGAGCATTCAGCGAATCCCCACGTGGCTGACTGCTTCAATATTGTTCTCGCGTGTCCGGCATTAGTGCTGTGCACGTGCCCCAAGGCGGCCGATCTCTCCTGCCTGGGACTATGCCACGTGAGTATGCTGGGCTCTGCCATCGTGCCATTCTCGAAACCACATTCGCACGCCATTCAGGGTAAGGACCGCATCCTACATATGTGGAGAACCCAGTGCCTCCTACATGGTGCAGTTGGAACCATTAGGAAAGATCCCTGGGTGTGGAACCCAGAGGACGTCGGTTCGAATCCGACAGGAGGCACCCTTTCTCCAACACTAAGTGACCTGGGTACAGTCTCTTAAAAACTTCCCCACGGCATAGGCAGCCGATAGGCACCGAGGCGCTTCGAGGGGATGCCCTAAGACAAGCGCCGGGCGGTATATCCCAAACAGTTAGGTCGTCTGTACCAAGTACGACCCGGCCAAATGGATGGATGGCAACTAGGGTTCGCCCCGGCTCTGCCGATAGACAACTATGGTTCGCCCAGGCTCTGTCTATATGGACAACTATGGTTCGCCCAGGCTCTGTCCGATCCAATCCTACCGGAAACGGTCCCTATGGGGCGGGCTACGATAAGACCTGGAATCGTTCTAGAAACAAGCCGATAAGGCCACCAGGCTCCTGGGACCCGATAGGGGGACTAAGTCCTCCTATAACGGGGGGGACAATCCGGCAAAAGTCGGACCCCTCCCTAGGGATTCCCCCAGGACGTTAGTAGCGGGTTGAACTCCTCCACCGGGCCGGGTGGGTGGTATCCTGCTGCGAGATGGAGATCACGGACACAATGGGGATCCGCGCCGGATGGCATAAGCGAACCAGGTGCCGTGGAACGGGAAGCACGACATATGGACCCGAAGGGCTAGGCACCCTGATACAAAACCCCAGCCAAGGGGTGGTTCCCAGTGTTCGGGTGGGCCGTAGCAGCCAGGGGTAGTCCCCCTGTTCTGGCTTGAGAGAACTAAATCCTCCATCGGTGGGACTCGGTAACAACGAGTTTCCTGCTTAAGTTGATTCCTCAGGACACCTCCTTGCTGAGTGAGGGGGGTGGCGGGCCTCGCAAGAGAACCCCCTACCTGGGCTCTGCCGAAGACCTTACTTTGGGGAGATCATGGCAGTCGGGGCAGCTAAGTTAGCAACGCCCATCGCGACGAGGCTTTACGCCACGATCCTCTCAGAAACCGCCTTCATGGTCTGGAAACTGAGAAACCGCCGAAGATTTGATCAGGTCAATATCTCCGTGCGGATGGCCATCGACCTATGGAGGGGCTCCCTCGAAAAACGATGCAAAACTGACCTAGCGGCCAGCAGGCTGAAAGGACCAGTTTCGATCCCCGAGGCTAGACGCCGGAGGGAAGCAGAATCCGCCTGGAGGACTATAGTGTCCATTAAAGGACGGGCCACGTTTTGGAAATATACGGACTATGGGTAAGTCGACTCGCCCTGTGGGTGAGAAACCTAGTCCTCGTAAACCCAACAGGCTGGGACGGGCTTTGGGCTCGAGC